TTTTCAATGTTCTTATGACTGTACTGCTACACGCAAAGCCTAATAAGGCTTGTGCTATCAGTGGTTGATGTGGATTGTCTCGCACTAAGTAATGAAACCAACACAATATATTGCTCGTTCCCATTTCTCGCACTGGCATGAATTTTAATATAAGACGTTTTTCCTAACCCATTTATCTCCGTTTCGTTGACTACTTGTCTCCCTGCGAAAGGGAACCGAATTCAGGTGCTATATTCTCGAGTGTCTTGTAACTTGTCATACTAATGCAAAATGTTGAGGAAGTAAGACGTTAAGCACAAGGTCGACGGACGTCGCATTCCTGAAATTTATAGAAAACCCTTTTTTCTGCATCAGCTTGCACCATTCCCGTTAGGGCAACAGGACAATACCGATGGGTGGCGCACCGTTGAATGCACGTGCGAGGCTCACTGAGAAATGCCGCAGCCATCATCTATGTATATGCAGGACAGAGAGACGGGAACTTAGCCACGAAGTTTAAATCTACAAATGTGAAGTAAAACAAGGGTCCTCGATAGCTTCTGGTGGTACACCCCACCTGTCGGTGTTTCGAGTGCACGCCCAAGCATATCTCGTTGTCTAAGTTACGCGCGTTTGGACAAAATATTTATACGATCCGCCTTTTACCTTTGCTTGCAAAATTTAGCTATATTTTCCCAGCACCTTTCAAGCGTCAACTATCCACCGAGGACGGTCAACTTCTAAATGTTTGCACCAGCTGCCCAAGTCCGGAAAATCTCATTATCCCACGTATCACTATTCCTAGTGGCTCTAATTACTACTTACCGAAATTTGACCAATTGGTTTCAAGCCTTAGCCCCTATATGAATCAATCGATCAATTAGCCAGCCGAGATAGATACTCCCTAAGGCCCGAAGTTCCTGCTAAGTGTGAAACTTCGCGGTAAATTTCGCGGGAAGAAAAAGAAATGGAGTAAACAAACAAGCGTTTCACTTTGCTCAGGAAAAATAACCTGAAGATCCAAATCCATATAGAGTTCAGACTTATTGGATATTCTGTCTATTGAGGCACAGTGGACCCCATTTGTCCTAATAACTTGGCCACCGATAACAATCTTGCTTTCGGGAAGGAGATACACAGAATCTTTTACTTGTCAATTGTTTCCTTCCATCTGTTTATTTGCAGACAAAACTCCCGTCGTCGGTTCGTTTGCGACCCATACATGACGGAGCAGGCGCTGGAGCTTTGACTCTTACGTGCTAGCTGTGCTCTATGGATGACAGTTGTACCATTACTGACTGTACAATTACCAGACGTTCGTTCTTCATTTTTCTCGAAGGTTGCTAGCCTCTTTGAAGCCACTCAGTGTAATGAAAATCTATCAGTGTTTTTCCCTGGTGTAATAGAACTCGGTTCAAAATCTTATCACTATGTGGAAATCGTACTTTAGAGAAGGGTTTGAAGTGGTACAACTCAGTTCATCAGTTCAGTTATCTTGTTTACTGGTGAACCTCGTTCACACCACCTGCGCTTAGCTACGTTGTTCATACTCAACAATAAGACATTACTCGTTTCCTGATAAACACGTCATCTTTGCCCGTGATCAGTGATTTCGTCAGGTGAATATACATTCAGCTTTCGAAAAATGAGCCTCCTTCGATAAGTAAACTCCCAGTTACAATGGGACACTATACCAAGCTTACCGTAATTTTAGGTTTCCTACCACTTGAGTAGAGAAACAGGGGGTCTGTTATTCGTCAGTTAGAAGCAAGAGATGTGGGACATTCAGATGCGCATATAACTGTTGCAGTCCAAAATGTAAAACGCAAGAAAACAATCCTCGAGATGGAGTAACTGGGCTAGAAAAACTGAAACTTTCAGCGCGGTTGACAAATTAGTGGTTATCATCCCTACACTCATCACCTTAATGTGTTTCGCCACTACGCGTTCTATTTGTCCTTGTTTCCCATTGATCTTTATGACTACTCCCGGGCGTCGCTAGCAGCATCGTACGTCCTTAGATGATACCATCCTGAGGCCTTCCGACCTGCAGGATGAAATCTCCATTAAAATATTAGGTTAGATTATGACTGGTGAATCATGTGTGAACATGATAGTTACTGAGGCCAATGGAGATTCATTTTCGAGAAAGACACTCATTTGCAAATCAATTTGGTTTTCACGAGAGACTCAACTGAATCCATCGTTTATGATATTCTACAACCGATTTGCTGCACACAGGCCGCCTCATGTTTCAGTTGGCACGATTTTCGAGCTATCGCAGTATATTTTCATGAAAAAAACTACTCACAAGGTTGCTGAAAACTCTTCGACACTTCATTCGACATTTCATTAATTAGTTATAGGTTACCTACTCTGTTACAACGTTTTGTTTTTGGGACCACTCTATTCAGCCATTCTAATGAAAAGGTTTGCAATACGAGCTAATTATTTCGTAATATCCAGAGACCGGTGGAACGATATGGTAATTAGAATTTCGCCAATTTTATTAGTTTCTATAATTATGGAAGGTAAAGAATGCTCTAAAGTGGGTTTTTCTCGACTTGGTCTCTCTCATCCGCCAAATTACTTACGTTTTATGCTTTTTTCAGCACATTCGGAGGCTCAGCTGCTGAACGCTGTAACAGCTGGTAAACTAAAACGAAAACGAAAACTAAAATCTACTAGAGAATGGGCCGATTTACACAATAGAGTCGAAAACTGGTTGCCCACCAGGAATGGACGAGACAGATATCAAGAGATTCGCCTTTTATACCGTACGGACTATGTGCGTACGACCGGGTTCACACACATTTATGTAAATCGCCCACCTAAGTTGACCCTGTGAAATCTCGATACAGCCGACCGATGTTATAGTACATTATCTCCTGTCTAACGTGTTGCCAAGGCTGGAGTCTTTTACGCAGCTGAGACAATAAGCACACTTCTCTATCCAAACTACCACCCAGTTCCTCAAGAAGGATTAGGTGGCAGTTCTTTCGTACTGGATAACAGGGGCTGTTTTGCAGAGTAATTCAAAGATGCAGTAATGAACAGAACAGTTTAATGTGGCGGATTCATAACAAAACATGGGGTATCTCCGATTCACATGCCAGTTTGAGTTCCATTACTTTGTAGTGCAAGCCGGACGGTGCGATAAAACCGCACGAAGAGTCCAACGAATCAGTGAGTAAAGCACATGATTCAAATGTGTCGCTCAAAGTCCTGTCAGCGGCCATGGTTTTTTCGTGCACGTGAATGCCCTGGTTTTCTTATTAAATTTATCCCTTCTGCTGATTTATTTTCAGACTGGTGATCTAACAGACTGCTTACGTCAAGTAAGAACATAAAACCCCTAAAAGTGTTCTCTTTTCTAGATCATGAAAATCTCATAAGAGATCTATTCGGGTACCTTCATGTTCTCCGCCTACTTCACACTTATGGTGCCTTCACGGAATTCTGAGTCAGAATGACTACTCAAGCGGTTCGGGAATAGGTGAGAAACCATCGCTTCAGAAAGGCTTGGTGGACCATATAGGTTTATTTATTCCTCCCCTAAAGGGGGTTCCCAAGTCAAGCAATGTTATGACAAGACTTGTGGAGTCTTACTCCCCACATTGCCTATCCGTATTTAAGCGTTGCTGTCAAAAGTGAAAGATGGGCCTAAATGAATTTTTGCTCTAGTCTAGAGTGGAGTAGATAAGTTCATATCACTATTGAAATTGAAATCATGAGGAAATTCTTTAGGCTTTGTTGAGCGTTTTAAAAAACTAGGCCCACAATATTTTAAAACAGTCTCATTTGCAGTTTGTTTACGCGATTTGTAGATCTTAGGATCATGTCACTTTCATTTAAACTATCCTTCGCCTATCCTGACGCAATTATCCTGGTAGGTCCACACCAAAGTGAAGGAAGCACTGGACTCTAGTTTCGTTCCTAATAGAGCTCATCACAAGTGCATATCCCTGATCATGTCTGAACCCAGGATATCTGACTTGCGAGTTGAGCGTGCTACGACTGGTCCAGCAGCGCACACTGGATGCACTCGAATCATCACGTCTGAACAGGTGAAATTGTCCATACTTGAACGTTTTGCTTAGGTCGTCCAAAGGCTCGAATAATGACCCAGTAACTTGCCCGGGTCTGTTGATCGATGGAGCCATCTGTAAGGACTTCCCAGTATAGTAGTGCCACGGAAGCCTTAAACTCGCTGGCCTGGCGGCTGGGCAACCACGTGCTCGCATACCATCAGTTAATCTAAAGTACAGCACAGTTGTGTCCGTGGGACTGTTTGCGTGGTAAAAATCCAAGACTAACAGTGTCTTATACCCGGGAAGAAAGGTTCCGAATGGGTCCTCGGTTGAAAAGGACCGTCACCCTAACACGCCACTGGAAGTACTCGAACCACTCAACGATAGCAGTACTTTACGAAGTTTGTTCCAGAATGGTGCTAGTGAAGCTTCGCGATTATTAGTAGATGGATTAATTTCATTTATGAAACTACATGTCAACTGTTTGTTTGCCTGATTCGAGTTTGATTACGCCATATTCTACTTAAGTACAAGTTATTTTCTCCACTGACTATACTCGGATGTTGCAGTGTTCAAACATCACTCGGGAGGTTGAATTTTTGAGTCGCCCTTGAGTGCTTACTACTGATGATTCCCAACAAGGATGATACGGGTATACAGTGCTTCCCGGCTTTTCGGAACAGATTGACATCACTGTCAAATCCCACTTGTGATAAACGGCAAGGGTACAAGTATAGTTAGAAACCTGAGCAAGTTTTCAAGCTGACTAGATTCAAAATGCAGCCTTTCTTCAAAATCCCGAACATACTGGTGACGGATCCGTACGCACAAGTCAAACATGCTGGTAGTGGCGAAAAGGGACCCCTTGACTTATTCAAAACATAACTGTTGACGTGCGACGAAGTGTATTGTAAAAGAAAGAACTGAATAGCATTCGATAAGGTTCATCCAGTAAGTTGGGCAAACTGTAATAAAATACAAACGAACAATCTAGTGATAACCGACCATTGGGCTCCGGCACTGTGAAGTCTGTTCGTTTTTCTCCCACTGAACGTAATCCGGTCGATAGCTCATCGTGCTCATGCTCCGGTAATCTTTTCCAGCTTGCCCTCCCCGATGAGTGAGTGGGACATTCGTAGGTAATCCCCCCGCATTAGAATCAAAATTCACTGAGTACGAAGGCATTACCCTGCCAGTTTGCATGTTACTTTCCATTCCTGAGCTGCATGGTGTTGTGCGTAGAAAATACAACTCGTTTGGCGAATGACTGGGGCCCCCGTTTAGATATCTAGCATTTGAAGCGTTTAGATTGGGGTGATCTGGTTCCATTTTATAACGATCTATCCAGATGGTTGGGTGGCTTCTTTCCACATTGTAAGAAACAGCTTGCAATGGTTTTTGCGTTTCATATGCTTGGCTCTTATTGGGCGTGTAACAATATCGTTCTGTATCCCCCAGATGTGATGGTGCTGTACCAACCATTCCTTGCGAGGGGTATTTGGGATACCCCCAACCGTCATCAAGAGCTGGGACTTGTGGGACAGATTCAGACCTTTGATTCGTGCGCGGAATGATAATGTGCTCGGGTTGGTCAAACCAGACGTTCTGCCATGTCTGTCTATTACTTAATGCCACCGGCTGAGCAGACCACGGCGATAAATTGCTGGGCACTACCTTGATGGCAGGTGATTGTGATAGTGATCTAGGTGGATTCCAATTAGGCTGGTGGGCTATTTTTGAGATTACAGACTTTCGTGCCATCATCGGGACGTTATCGAAGACGATTTTAATGCTGTTTCCGGGGCCATTGCTGAAAACTGCGTTTTGGTTTAACCCCGGTGTGTATTCATACACAGGAATGGTTGGTTTCGTAGAGCCATTCTTTATTAGGGCTGTTGTTGTGCCTGAATTAGGTCCATGCGCATATTCAAGTACAGCAGGTGTTGAGACCGGTTTAAGCGGTGGCGGCGAAACTGCGGTTTCGTGATAGTCTGGTAATCCGGTACTCGGTGTGAGAGTGACTAAATGCCCTGAATTTCGTGGCATTATGATTTTGTTTTCAGCTCTCGTACCAGGAGGGTCCTGTTGGCGCAGTTTGACGGCTGGTTGTCCTGACTGATCGGAGGTCATCTGGTTTTCTGCACCACCTGGTGTCATACTTTGCTGCACACTTTGTTCAGCGGCATTAGTCACTTTTTTTGTCTGCGGTTGCGTGGATGGTGACATGACAGTAGGCTGCGACAAAGCTTCAGCAGGTGAAGGTGAAATCTCACCTGAAGGCGATTTCACTTCATTTCCCTTCTCCGCCTTACTCTTCTCTTCTTCGATTGCTTTCACTTTGTTTTTCACTTCATTCACAAGAGCTTTGATTTGGTCTGCATTTTTTCCCTCAAAGAAGACCAGACGCTTCTGATTCAGTTTTACCGAGCGTAGATCAATTATGAGTTTTTTGCTGCTTCGTCGCATTATGTAAATTTCATGTAACTCGGAAAATAAAATTGATGTAGCGGACGGATCGGCATCTTCCCACCATATCGGGCGATCACACAAAATACCCTGTTCAGTGATCTCCAAACAAACAGACTTGCCTTTCTTCGGAATTTTGGATGAACCAGATCCAATCCAATCCAAGCGCGTTTTGATCGCCTCGCGAGATTCCTTGTCTTCCCCTGGGATATAGAATGATACGTAATGCGTCATTTTGTACACATTCTGTTCGCCGTTCTTGTCTCGCTGATTCTTCGATGGCATTCTGTCGGCTGGTTAGTAGTTCGATGATAAATGATACGTTCAGATGCGGTTGCTACAGTGGATGTCCACGCAGCACACTTGTTTCCGGCACAAGCTGTCACGAGAGTGTGGAACTGTGACAAAATCAAGCAACTTTTATCAGAAGTCAAAGCCAGTTGGTCGACAACACAGTGCATGACCTCACCGGTATGTGGATGAGACGTGTCCAGCCTCTCGGCGTCTCTCTATCCTACCTCTCTGTGTAGGTGTGTGTTATTGTGCACGATGGAGGGGTTCCAGAGATAAAGACAGACAGACATTCTTTACGCCTCTCCACCTCAACTGGCCAGTTAAGATGAAATGACAAGCATGCAGACTAGAAGGCCAAACAGTGCGCCAATGAAGTAGCCATATCGATTGAGTAGATATGTTAGCAATCATACATGTTTGCGGGCACTGCATACTTGAATACACCAAAACCTATACGCGGGCTCCCATTTGGACGATTTACTCAGACCACAAGCGTGCGATGGTCACCTTGTGCTAGTAGTATATCCAGGGCGAATCTTCTGTAACACATGGGAGAGTTTTTCAGTGAAATTTGATTTGATTCAAATTAGGAGCATCGGTGAAAGTACAAACCAGCACTCTCCATTATATGAAACAGCCTCTGGAACCTCCAATATCTTGAGTTCAATACAAGGGAAGAAGAGGTGTTACGATGCTGCACTGTCCAAAGTGAATAGTAGCTGTGACTCCTAACAACGTCTCCTAGGTTATCAGTACCCAAATTATTTGGTCACAAAGAGAAAACTAAATTATAGAGATTGTTCCAGGGCTACAATCGGATTCCATTTCGGAAAGCCATCCGTGAGATTTCTGAGTAAACTTTTTGCGTAACCCAGTTTGGCAGTTTAGATGCAAATGATTGGAGTTCTGACTTATCTTTGAGTGCGGAGAAATAGCGTCAAATAAACATGGGCGCGCAATTTCTTTCCCCCCATATTTTATTGAGAATTTATAGTCCCATTGTTTGATCCAGGGCACGGGAGAGTATATTGATCAGTATCATAGCTTCTAGGCTTTGCTTTTGAGACCGCACGTAGCAATCTTCAACACTTAGGCAGCGTCTTACGCCACTGGTGAAAACACTCATTTTCACATCCCCATCCCTCAAACCTAGCCTGTACCCTTCACGAGTGTTCCCGACCAATCCTTTTTCTGCCACACAGACACGCATGCACACTCAGGCTCTCTAGTTGCACTCAGCCAGGTGTACCACTTTTTATCCATGTTCTGACTTGCACTACAGACAGGTAGCCAAAACCTGATGTAGCAGTCCAATCGGTCTTGCTTCACATACACATATTTTCTGGGGACTAGACTGCGGCTCAAATTCACCCAGCAGCAATCACAAACCGTCCGTCATTTTCATCTCACTCTGGACACAACAAATCACGGTTTGTTATGGGTGGTTGTGGGAGTTGCAGAATGCATGCTCACATCACTCCTGTTATCCAACTCACCTTACGATCAGGAGCATTTTCAGTGTCCAGAATAAGTGGACTCCCACAAAAAGTCACTTTTTGGCATCCATTAAACTTCTATCGCTACCGCTTTCGGCCATCCAAACTACTGAACTAACTACGGAACTAAGCAGAGGCTAACAATTTTGACTCGGCTCTACAAACAAGTGACGAATTTGTATTTACTACTGGTTTCTGTGTGCTACGATCCAAAAGAAGTTTATTTTAATCTCTGGTGTCCCGTCAAAGAAAATGAGAAATTTTAAGGGCATGTATTCCTCTTCTTGAATAGCGGACATATTCAAGTATATATATTACATATATATATATACATATATATACATATATATATATATATATATACATACATATTTTACATCCAGCCTCCTGAAAGAGACAATTACTATGTTTTAGTGCAATTGAAATTCCTCGGCTTTTCAACCAGACATATCTAACCAGGTCATGCTGAGTTTGATGCTGGCTATTATGGAAACGGAATAACACGGGCCGAACATTAGAAGGCTGATTTCGGTGCGGTAATTCTTTCTTCGCCGTTTTTTGGCCAGTGGATCAGAAGGCCCTTACACGGAAAACGCTGAAGCTCCCACTCAACTTGGCATAAATAATACAGCAGTCATCCGCCTCCACAGGATCGTGGAGATTCATTTCAACTCATGGCCTAGGAAAGTCCAGTGACTAGTCGAAAGTGTGAGCAGTTTGATAGGCGGATTGCACACCGCTTTAAATCCAAATATGGTTTTTCCTGTTGAACAGGCATCGATATGTGTTGAATTTCATAGCAGTTTCAGACTTGATGGTAGTAAAAATGGTCGAATTCCTCTAAAGTGACGAAAAAGCGCGTAAAATGACACATGGTAGCACTCTTCTGTCAATCAACAACACCTTGCGTACAAAATACAAGCTCGTGGTTGCAGTGTAATGTAATGTAATGTAACGTAATGTAATGTAATGTAATGTAATGTAATGTAATGTAATGTAATGTAATGTAATGTAATGTAATGTAATGTAATGTAATGTAATGTAATGTAATGTAATGTAATGTAATGTAATGTAATGTAATGTAATGTAATGTAATGTAATGTAATGTAATGTAATGTAATGTAATGTAATGTAATGTAATGTAATGTAATGTAATGTAATGTAATGTAATGTAATGTAATGTAATGTAATGTAATGTAATGTAATGTAATGTAATGTAATGTAATGTAATGTAATGTAATGTAATGTAATGTAATGTAATGTAATGTAATGTAATGTAATGTAATGTAATGTAATGTAATGTAATGTAATGTAATGTAATGTAATGTAATGTAATGTAATGTAATGTAATGTAATGTAATGTAATGTAATGTAATGTAATGTAATGTAATGTAATGTAATGTAATGTAATGTGATGTAATAAGTCGGGTGCAGCAGTTCAACGAAATGCCTTCACTTCAAAACAAAAGTTTATGAGTCCTAATCAAAGCAGTATTTTCACTGAAGATTTCGCCCATCTAGGCCGAAAGTCAGTGTAAATCTCACGATCTCCAATGAGAATAAAACTCGCAACCTTCTGGCTAGTAGTTGAATACTAAAGCGTTCGGCCACCAGCGGCTGGTCGAGAGTGTGATCAACTCGGACTTTGGCAAGATCTACAGCTACTCACCCTTCATTCACAAAATTCACCTAAAGTGGCCACTCGAATAACATGTCATATGCGAAGTTTACTCGTCGTATCAATTATTCTACCTATGGTTTTCTGGTAGTGTGAGGAGATTCATCGTGAAATAGACTTCCGTTAGTGGTATTGTGTAACTTCATGATTGTTTAGAAAAATACGGAGAACACTGGTATGACTTTAACTCTGGGGAGACCAGTTTGCTGTCACACTGCTTCCCATAGCTCGCTCCAAATGAAGAAAGTTCACGGTTTGATGACTCTGATTCACTTCTGTAATGTCTAGAAGTTTTTTGAAGGGTTTGCTTTGGATTGCCGAAACGCCCCAAAATAGAGATTTTCCATGCATGTTGACAAAAACTTCATGCTCTTTTAGAACTATCGTTCACTTATCACCCGTATACTTAATGATCCAGACAACTATGGAATCGAATGATGGGTGCTTTTCTGGAACAGCACGCTTCAGCAGTAAAGCTGTCATTCAACGAGAGGAAGATGGAGTATCACCATATGGGGGGATATATTAGACATTACGAAAGTCAGTGTTCGGGTGCAACAGTGGATACGGCTGAGTAGCCATGCGAGTAGTGTGTGTGGTTTCTCGTAACTCCGTTTTGATCTAGTGGAAGTTGGGATTTATCACGGAATTTGTGGAATTGCTTTGTAGCATTTGTTTACGTTTTCGTGATAGTCAATGAATATCCAGGCATCAGAGAAGCAGTCGCGATTACAATCCATCGTTAGGATTATCCATGCAATCTAGCAGGTTCGATGTACCGATGGTATCTTCGGTAGAAGTACATTATGTTTCACTTAGTCTCCTGTTAATAAGCGAAAACCTGCCAACAGATTGTATCGCAATGGAGCTCCGATGACTGTTTGCGTTGGATCTATTGTTCATCATCCATTAACACTTTCGCTCCGTGAAGCATAACGTTTAAGATCGTTTATATCGTAAGCTTTGAACTTGCTGTTACACATGCGTATAAGTGCGAACAGTCGCCGAAGCGACCGTTCACCATTATCCCGTTCGTTTCAAAACAAAGCGCTGACTGCAACCGAATTTCGTTCAACGTTTCATATTGTGTGATAGTCTATTTATATTCGCGCATAATTCTGTGGCTTAAGTACCGAAGTGACGTTTCGTTTATTGCTGTGCACCATCGGTGGTGTTTCTGCACTGTCAGCGCATACCAATTGTTTAAAATTAGTTGCTTAGATTAAAGACAGCCTCAAGCTTCCCAATATTAACCGGCTAACGAGGCTTTGCATCCAGACTATTGATATCAAGTCCACAACCGTGTAGCGGTGTTGTTCTTTGACAACCACTGTTCTTGGACTCACTAGTGACCACTCACTAGCTGTAGGTGTGTGCATTGAGTACGTGGTAAGGGATGGGAAGAAACGGATTTATTGCAGAAGTCCTATGTTCTCAGGTAATAGGAACTGGGATGAAGTCCTTGTTTCTTCAGATAACACCAGGAAGAATGATGAACAAAAATCATTCCTCGGTAAGTTTGACTTTACGTACCTTGCAAACTTCACTTAACACCAGCATAGAACACAACGACAAAAAACTAGCTGGATACCCGGCTAGAAAGTGAAATTATGATTGCCACTGGGCCCGGACACGTGGCACGTCTTGGAGATTTTTCAACCACGTGCAAAGGAATCACGTAGGTCACAACCATGGCTGGTATCCACGGCCCCTCTTCTGAGCTGTAGTGGCTTTTATTTTAAGCTGGAATGTTATGGCCTCCAGAAAAAGTTTTCCTGCTCGAATTTGGAATAGAAAACGGGGCTTTTTTCCGTAAA